ATCGATCAAAGTAATCACAACTATTGGTGCCATCTGGTAATTATAATGTTGGCATCACTTTTTCATCATAAAATATCTCAATTACCCTGAGAAAAAAATACATGTTTGGGCCACATACATTTGTTATAAAATAAATTCCTGCACACTTTGGTCAGATGGGTTCTCAACTGACATGCTCCAAACCAAAGAATAAAATGCTAAGAAAAGAAGCCCAGACTCAGACATAGCAAGCTTCACATTTTCAATTTTCAATTTAAGAATGCTTCAGGCATCAACTCACAATCAATATACCTCTTCTGTGCATGTACATGACCTTGTCCCCATCAGAGCAACACCATATAAGGTTCTGCTTTGATATACTATGTCTCTTCATCCTTCTGAAGTAGGCTTTATTCTCCTGCAAACTAGACATGAGGGCAAACACTGGTTGCCTCAGAACTGCTGGTGAGATGACAAAACAGTGTCTGGCTGCGGCGTGATGATATACAGATGAACAGTGACAATAATCCAGTGCACACCTTTACAACAATAGTCCTCTCTGTCCTGTCCCACAGCTGCCACAGCATTGGCATTTCTTTCATGGTTTTATTGATTTCGTCTGAGTGGAGATCATCTTACCTGCAGGGCCTCACCCTACTTAGCTTATTTTACTGTAGTGACCCCATGCGGGTCAGTCTACTGAACCTTGAGTAAAATCTACTGCTACATGTACCTACCACTGGTTTATAAATGTCAGCTTTACTGTCTCCAAGTAAAGGTGCAGTCTTCTTGGTAAATCCCTGATCACATACATTATGGTATAAATCAAATTGATATTTAAATTTTAAAAAAGGATTGACCTAAAGGTGGTCAGATTACTGTATACCACGATGCTGTTCCATACATGGCAGTAATTGTATGACAGTTCTATTAGAATGTGTAAGTCAACATTATACATTTGAATTTACTCTACAGGATTAGTACTTATCCCTGGGATGTTATAACCACATTATAACCTATTGACCTCAAATGATGAACTATGACCCTTTACAAGCATAACCTTTAATAGTGTCATGAAGGCACACCATGTAATAGCTAATTGTTAAATTTTTTTATTTCTATCCCAAATATAGATAGAAATCAACTTTGTAAACCTCCTAAAACCTCTAATTTCAGATAGTTACTTACACCTGGCATTGTTGAACTAAGCTACAAGACATTTGAAAGCTTTGAACATCAAAATAGAGATCTAACCTTTAAGTTATTGATTGAAATCTCTATATTTCAATATGTAGGTACTAAAATTGTGAAGAAAATCTCATTTGAAAGGATACCTTGGTACAAAGTCAAACACAAGTTACAAAACTTATGATTATAAGGAAAGCCTCTGAACGAAATTACTTGAATACAAATATAAGACAGATAACTACAATAACATGGAAAATGTTGCTCAACAATATAAAGTAATAATTCATGTTCAAGACATAAATTTCATCCTGATAAATATTTCAGATAAAAATGCACATGGTCTTTACAACCTGCAATCTGCCACGCTGCAGTAACATTTGTCCCAGACAGTTCAATTTCTCTGGACTAGGTCACCATAACAACCACCATTGCAATGTGGCTGATTTACAAAGGACGTTTCACTTGCATTACTGAAAACATAAATCATAGTCCACATATATGGGAATCCTATTGTATTCTGAGGACATTCAACTCAGAGCACGCCAGGCATCAGTGATGCTTGTTAAAATCATCAATACAATTTTATACTCCACTTCTCACATCATCCCCTTTTGTTTTCCAAAACAAGCCAAATGCAAATGCTCCATATTATTATATACATGTATAGATACTTCAATGAACAGGCAACATTCTGCTTGAATATTTGTGAAAAGTATTTCACTTGTGTTAGACATGGACATGTGTTAAGAAACTATTTTAATCAACATCTAACAAGCTATCTTAAGATTCGGTGATACAGCAATATGACTTTGTGAATAATACTATTCTTAGATGAACTTTTCTCATTTACTTTGTCAGGCTGTGGACTATCTAAAAATTAAATTTTTGATCTCATAATCCTGTGACAAATATAAGTTGGGCAATTCTAAGTCACCATACTAAAACATTGTTGTATCATAGCAGAGGTTGAAAAAAACGTGTGTAACCAAAGATAAGAAAATCCTCCATATTTCAATAATATTGATGTACACGTATAAATGTCCTGGATCATTGGTCATTAAGTGAAGGAATAGAAGGCATGAGCCCAGCATATCTCCATGAATTTGGGCAAGCACACAGGGTGACCGGTCACTTCTACACTTCTGTAAGGTGCAAGAGACTTTGTACATATGAGGCTCCCTATGCACAGAACAATTCTGACTTCTTTACTGCAACTTCATTTCCACTTGGTGTCCAAGCCGGGGGCCTGGGGTTTCGAACCTGCAGGTTTCCATCCTATGTGCACAAAATGGGACCACTAACCCATTGCGCTACACACATACAGGCTACACTGGTGACACATTAGCCATGATAGCATTTGACACTGTCAAGTGTCAGCCTATGACATTTGAAGAGAAAAATAGGTCCACTAGTAGCACCTAGCACCTAAAGGAATGCTGTGTCATCGGTACTTAACTATTACTGTTAGCTTTGCTCTACAAGAACGTGGAGACACGTCTGCCGCAGCGCCTACTGCTGACTTCACCTGTTTCACAAACACAAGGAACTTTGGTCACAACCAGTCTGTGACCCAGTTCAAAGTGACAAAAGGTAACTTGTATTCTACTTTGTTGCAAGTTTGGTGTTTGGTGAATGTAAACATTTTAGAATAGCTTAGTACTGATACTTGCATGTCAGCTCCATTGTAGACACAGAATAGTTCCATATATATATATACATGTATGTCTGTGTTTCTGACTTTGGCAATCACAGATGTAGTGGCACTATTTGTGGCAGTACATGTATTAGTATTACAGCAACTGATGGTATTAAACTACGTCAAATGTTGCTGAAGTATGATTTGTCATACACAGTGAGCCCATAAATGTGGCTAATTGATTATTATCAACTGGGTAATTAATTCACAGATATGTTAATCATGTGATGACTCAGAACTAGCAAGGCTTGTATTGCATCATTAACAAAAGTTAACAACAAGCAAGTCACTTTCTAAACAACCAATCCTCTATCTAGTACAGCTACACAGCAACCAACTTCTCTGCTGCTGGTATGCTAACCTCAAAATCTAAAAATGAAATAAAATCAATCACAAAGTTCAGTAAAGCTCATGTGTTTTTCTTCATCATGAATAAATCAATCATCATAGTACATATATTTAAATCCATCACAAGTCTGCTAATAAGAAACCAGAAACCCTGTGCCTTAGTTCCTCCCACCTCTCTGGAAACAGTTCTACAGTCCAGATCAGAAAGATTAATTATAAGGTAAGGCTGAATTTCATTTTGGATCCCTCACTGGCTTCAGGAAAAAGAAAAATGTTAAGGAGCCCCAGCCACCTTGAAACACTTGAGACATATCCGTCTCCATGGTGATGCGAAAGTTAAACACTTTCCTGCCTTTTGTACCTTGACCTGGTGAACTCCAAATGGCTGGGCGTCATGTCAAGAAGGTCAGTTTAGTATGGATGACTATGCAGAACAAATACTTCTCGAATATATAAAAACAACAAACTGACTGACTCAAATACAATCAGGAATAAAGCCAGTAATCGAAAACTACAGACAAAATAAACATTGAGCAGGGTATATCCATTTGATTGACTGATAAAAGAATTTAATCTTGCTTCCATCAACTGCCATGATTTAGCTGCTATTAATTTGAATTTGAATTCAATTTGTTTACCTTAACTACTTGTGATGCCCTACATTTCAAGGAATATCAATGCCACTTTTGGCATGGGGAGGTGACAGAACTTAAAATATTCAATTATCACCACTCAGATCCAAAATAGTAATCAGCTTGTTCGAAACTAAGCTCTAATAAAACTCCACATACAAAATGAAGCCAGGATATTTCTGCCTGGATCCAAGTTTCAAATTTCAGTATTTGGACCATTACAAGCTTGTTTATTTGTTAATCTTTCTGTTATAGTTTATACATACCAGGATGCTTCCATGTCTTTTTAGAATGGTAAATGGGTTATATAAATCTAGCAACTCTGAAAATTCTTGCATGACCATTGTAATTTGTTGATGAATTTTCTATATACTTGCTAGACAAACAATTGTGATGCCCTGACATATATCTATAAAGGCATTAACATCTGTGGTTTGGTCATCAATATATCTTTCAGAATGCAAAATCTGTAGAGGGAGATGAAAACGGCCACTTCTTCAATCAACTTTCAAGGGAATATTTTAGGTTACCTCTCAACTAGCAGATGACAGCAAGCACAACAAGAATGTGATGCTAAAAGTGCTTTGGAACCAAGCTACAATATTACTGAGACCTTTCACCCAGGATGTGGCACACATGTGTCTGTCCCACTGACAGTTATACTCACAAGTTTGTCTCTTGCCTCTCCCTTCTTATAATAGCAAACAAATGAAAGGCAACTAAACTGTGCCCATAATACATTCTACAAAACTGCTGGGTTTACTGACTCCTGGGTACTTGCAAAAGATCTCCCCCGAGATCTAACGTTCATCGGCCCAGAAATGGAAATAACATTATGCAAAATTAAATGCAACGATAAAACCGCCATATAAAGGCCACGGTTGTAATTCTTGTGCAGTTCTCTGCACCGTATTCGTGAGCAAAGATAACCAAAGTGTGCAACCCTCTGTTAATGACACACACACACACAGGCTTTACCGAGATGTAGCACGACAGACTGTCCCCGACAAGTACAAGTTCTGGTGACCCACATCGCCTGCTCATTATATTCGTGCGTGTGAGGCAAGGATGGAGGAATGGGTCATCGTGCCACTGCGACACAACAAAGATCGGTGAATATATATCATCATAACTTCCACATAGCTCTAGTGCCTTACCTGGAAAAGGTGGACGACGGAAATCTTCCGCCATAGGAAGTGAGGGCTGTCTTGGCTTTTGACCTGACAAGAAATAGAACACCATAGTTGAGGCACATAAAAACGAAAACAATCGCCAACTCGACTGACAAATGGGCTTGACCTAGGCACAAACGGACAAAAAAGTGTCAGTCTAGAACTTAGTCATCTCTGTCCATGGCCTACTCACCTCCTAATTGCTGACATCTTTAACTCAGATAGGACGAATATATGGGCCCTGCTTCGAACATCAATATCCGGAAAGGCGATCGCGATCAATCGGCACTGGACTTCGTGGCCATGAACTCACTGGGATTTTCTTCGGGTTCGGCCGCAGCACCCCAAAATCAGCCAGTAATACAGTTCTTTTCGACCATACAACGAACCCTTTGGATGGCAGGAAGACATAGGAACAGACAGCATTCGGTGACAAGCCTCTATACCAGCGAAAAACGGTGGAATTTTGTGCACTAAAATACTGTCATCCCGTACCTACTGCACCTCCCCGGCTGCAATGTGTTTGTGCATTTTCCGTCATCACGTGATTGGGTGTGCCCATCCTCTGTCATGGCGAGGGGGGTTACAAAACTTATTCTTATGATAACACATTACTGTATCGCTTGATTATTTGTGTCATCGAGTATATGGCACTGTCTACCGCAAATGTTTTAGTCTCAGATTTTATTTCCATAAAGGAAACAGTCTCTATGATATTCAGCTAACAGTTTAATATGCTAATTACGCAGATGCTGATGACACATGTCAATAGCTTTACTATCAAGGAGCTTCTATTGATAGAAGCACCTTGCTATCAATGAACATTTTATGCGATCGCGCGAGATGTAATTGAAATCAAAAGGTTCTGTGTGACACCAAACGTTAGGATTTTCAGGGGCTTGTTCCACGCATACTTAGTGGCTGAAGCTGTAAATATAATAGTGAGCCAAGGTCAGATTACTCGTTTAGCCTTGAGTGAAGAACGAAGTCCAAGCGAACGGTCTCAGCAGTTCTACTTCAGGTCAGGGCCAATTCGAGGAAAACTTTTCATAGATTGATAGGAACGTTAAGCCAGATCCCTGCCCCGACACTTATCAGTTTCAAGAATCAGTCAAACATGCATGACACTTTGAGACTCTACTACTGGTTGTTTGTTTCATCAAATATCCCGTCATCCCGGCTGAGAAACTTGATTTTATTTGTTCAACTGGCATAAAAAAATTGCACGGTTTCGAAGTAGGTTTTGTCTGAAAAATTATATCTGAGCTGATTTCCAGCCAGGATTACTGGTTTCTGGGGACTAAATGAGAGTAGGGCAAAACAGCTGTAACCGTGCTAATTCTGTCGGCCAATGTTGGGCACTTAGGAGAAAGCATGGATGTTATTATGCATATAGCTCATAACATGTAAAATGAGTGTTTATTTAGAATATATGCTAGAACTAAAGACAAAACCATACGTCTAACATTAAAACTAGAATATATTGATTAATGGATATGCGTGTTATGATCGTTGTTTTCACCGTAAGCATTCATAACCTAAATGTAAAATCGGACTATAACATTTTGTTTCAAGTATGACAATCAGTTGTGTAAGAAACGGTTTCACAGGTCCGTTTTCGATACTCAATACCGGTATACCCAACTAATTCTTGAACGAGTTGCCGAAAACACCCATCAAGTGTGCCTCCTTCAGAGTCTGATTTAATAGCTTCTTGACGCATGTCTGCTTCAGCTTTAATTTGATATACCTTCGTCATGACGTCATTTTCGTTTTCTCACCTTTGCTCCGCCTAGACCATGACAAACGACGGAAGGCGGTCGTGTGGCGCAGCGGCAGCGTTCTCGACTCGGAACCAGAGGCCCCGGGTTCGAGTCCTGACATGCCACCGATCTTGTGCCCTTGGGAAAGGCACTCTACACGACTTTCCTCACTTCGCTCAGGTGTATTAAAATGAGTATTGTACTGTCCCTGTGTTGGTGTCGGCATTAATATAAGTTGACAAAGCTTGAGTGTGTCGTCACCACGTCTTGTGATTACATGTTTCGGAATAAAAAAATAAAAAAATAAAAAAAAACGACGGAAGGACACATTGGGGCATATTATCATACGGATGTTTTATAATGTTTTTGATTACCCCATACTTATCATATACTTATCACATACTTAATTACATAAATCTTGTGAAATCAAACCTGTGTTAATCACGAGTTCTGCGGTACCATGGAATCTTACACGATAAACCTTCACCCTTATATCCTTTTGTTTACAGCACCGAAGATATCAAAGGTTTGGCTTCGACCAACCACCAAGCTATAAAGATATGACTAAATGTACCTCACGCTAATGTTTACACTTACAGTGGGCTGGTGGCGTGCTTTGAGGAGAGACCAAACACCGATGATGATTAGGCTAGCCATGAGGTTAAAGTAGGATACAACACGTCGTTGTAACTTGTATATAACACTCACAGTAACACCTGTTGTAGATATAGTATGCG